CATTTCAAAACAAATCTGCGGTAGCCGTCCATTCGGCGAGGGCTTCTTCGGCGAGGCTTCTAATCGTTTAGGTGAATGCGATCCAAAATCGCAGTGTCGCGGAGCGGGGTACGACCTTCTCCCCAGTAGCGCCACCAAGCGCCCAAAGTTGTCGTTCCATTTCATGACAGACTCGTCCGAGGCACATCTGGACCAAGTGACCAGTTCACATAGGCTCCCGGGTATGGCTCCGCAACTTTTGCATAGTGCTCGAAGGGCGTCGACTTGAAAACGCCTTGCTTGCCAGTGACCTCGGTAAAGGTTTTGGCAATTTCCGGGAAGCTCACGTTGTCAGTTACGACGGAAAGATCGAGGCCTGCCGCCTCGTCGGGGTTGTCAAACAGCCAAAGGTTATAAACGCCAACATCGTCGAGAGCAATTAGGGGGAGTTTGGCATCGTCTCCTGTGAAAATTGTCAGCCGAGGCCTGCAATGTGGATGAAGTTTGGAACAAGGCAGGAAAAGCTCACGGGACGGATTGGCCCATAGAAACGATCCGTCAGGCTGCTCGCTGGGAACGAACATTCCGTCGAGAAGCATATCCATGTAGGGTCCGGTGCTGAAGAGAGAGCTCTTCATGCCATCCTGGCCTTGAGCAAGGATAAACTTTCCAATTCGTCCTTTGCCGTCCATGTGGCCGCAGTGGTACGCCTCGTCGTAGTCGACAATACCCAAGACATATTCAATATTGGCCCAAACGTAGTGCTGCACGCCCTCGCCTCTGGCGATCTCGTACGCTCTGAATCCATAGAACAGCTCGTCCTTCTCCCCCAGAGTGAAGCCGTCGGTGTTGACCCAGGCGCCGTATACGCCTTTGAAAGCCCTGTGCAAGTCCTCCTGGTTGTTCTGGGCGCCTTGGATCAGAGTTACATTCTGCAGAGCTCCGAGCTGTTTGGCACGTGATGATTCGACACTACGAGTCAAGACCCGGACCCGGTATCGTCCACTCGCAGACAAGGCTTTCAGTTGGATTAGCACAAGTATAGTGCGGGAATCATATGGTCTTACCCTTGACAACAGGTGCACCTTGAGCACCTGTGCCGCCGATGACGAGGATTTCCTTCAGTTCGGCCATGATGGTCGCAGAACACTGTGTTTATATTGATTGGTCGAACGTTGAGAAGTTACAATGTATTGCTTGAAGTAGCTTGATGCACCTGAGAATAAGCGCGGTAGCCGACTGTAGAGTTTGCTTTACTGAGTATTTATACAAAGAATGGCCTTTTCCAAAGCGCCGGTGTCGGTCTACTCGTGGTCTAATGTTGTATCGTTGACTGATCAATCGAATGATTCTCCTGCAGATCGCAACGGAGGCTTCTCCCTGTTCGGGCAACGCCACGATGCATACCGCTTTCACTGCAAATGAAAGCAGGGAATTTTTTGCTGTGGTTTAGGCTTGATTTGCATCGGATGGTTCTGAGCGGTGCTCTTCTAAAGTGGCCGCGGAGGGTTTTCAGCCTCTCAACAGTTAGGCCCTCAACCTGTCTGACAACCGCACCCATCGAGCATGTTGATAACGCCAAATTCTCCTTCTAGTTCCTTGACAAGCAATCACATCATAGATTGGGATTCGCCAAACGGATGGTAAATCGTATCATGAGATGGACGCAGACGGCAAGAACTATTCGCCACATGGTGAGTGTTGTGAAACGCGCCCAGTCTACGGAAGCAGCACGATTACCAATCTACGCCTGTAGCACCAAAGAAAACGCCATCTGACAAGTTCTGGAGCATTAATACTGCAAATTGAATGCAGGATTTCGGATATCTGGCCTTCGCTTCCAACACCTCGCACTCCTCACAAGTAAAAGTAGCAAAACGGACCTGACAGTGCGTCCATAACTTCCGCAATCATGATCTTGTCGCCGGCATACCCCATGTCAATTATATCACTAAGCTTAGTCTTCTCCGAGGGCGGCTGATTGGCCCAAGTCCTGTGGCCATAGTTGCCACCGTTGAGCTGGCAGTGGCGTGACTTGGGGTCAAGAGCTTGCCTGTAGAAAGTCAGTATTGGTGTTGACCCAAAAACGGGCAACTTTACATACCAGAGAGTCCACATGCGATCCATCATGGCGTGGTGGGCGTAGAAAGCAGGGTCTCCAGGAGACGTAAACAGATCACCGCCGGGATCGCCGCTTGACTGAGCGTCAGTATAAACCAGCAATCGAGCTGAAACTAGGCGTAACTGACCTGATGGTGTAGTGAATGCCACCGTGAGGGCCTATCTCGATTGTGTATGGAACACCCTCCGATAGCAAACGGTACTGCTCGATGTTGGGTTTCTGCAGAAGGTCTGACACATGTCAGCGCATGCCGCCGTCTTGAAATCTCACGGGACGTACTCAGAACGGTGGTATAATTTGCGTAGCGAAGATTCATCGCCGGTCCGACATCTCTCTTCAGGCCGCGGGGGTTATAACCAAGTCCACCGTCGGGGCCAGGCGCTGTGCCCTGCAGGCCACCGACAGGTCCCAGATTGACAGTCATGTTGGCAAAGGGCCCGGTCCTCACGAAACCGCCGCCGAGACCAGCCGGCAACGAAATGTTTCCGCCGCCGACTCCAGGAGGAGGCACGATGACAGGACCCTCATGCGGGACGTACTCGCCGTTGCCTCCCAGGCTGTAAGGATCACCGTTGAAGATGGGCGACTTTTCCGGAGCGGAAGCATACCTGGGCCAGTCCCAGTAGGGCAGATAGCCCGTGTAATTACACTCGTCGCGAAGAGCAGTTTCGTATTCGTACAAAAACCAGCGATGCCATGGCATGAAGCATCCGGTATAATGAATGGTCAAGGTCTGTTGGATGTGGGTCACGACGAAATCATCATACTGCCGTGTGTGAGTAGCCCGGGCGACAAACGACAGGGAGATGTGGTCAGGGAACTCACTCGTGACTTAGCACCAGATGAGACGTTGGCAGGTGTTCGCGCGGGCAGAGTCTGGAGGCACTTGATCGCATTGACGTAAGAAAGACGCTCCTCTTCAGAGAGCGAGCCGCTGCAGCAGAGAATCAGCGAGGTGCTCGCACCAGGTCGGTGGTGGTTGGTATTTTGCAACTTCGACTTACTACTCTCTGCGGAACACAACATTTCTCCCGTGGCAGCTCGCTTCTTCGCCGCGCTTGCGAAGTTTGGCTTCTCTGTCATCCAGTGACTTGAGAACACTGGCTTTGATGTCCTCGACCAACCCAGAAACCTGAGCTTCGTCCGAAGCATCACCGCGGGGATGCACGGCCGGAATGGCTAAAGCGACCGAGGTCAGGGCAACTGAGGTAAGGATCGACACGAATCTCATCTTGTCGATGGATGGGGTGGAACAGAAGGACACGTGGAAAAAGAAACTATGGCGTTGAGCCTTCAGAACTATCGGACACGATGGAAGTGTGACTGTCAAATGATTGCCCGACACAGAGTCATTATATGGGAACCATGTGGCTAGCTTGCTCGACCGGAATGCGCCAGAATCCCGGGAGGCTCATATCTTTTCTTCCCCCCTGAGGGCGATGCATCGCGAGTGAAGAGGACCTTATGCAGGCCGAGCTTAGCCGGGCCCAGGGTCCGGTGAGTAGAAAATAGGTCGAGCG